TGATTATTGATCAAAGTATCAAAGACAAGGTGTCAATTTTTCTAGGGGATACTTAGTGTTTTGATATGGGTGAAAGACTAAAAGATAGTAATTGAGATGCAACAAATATGATTGTAATCACAGATACTCTTATCAATTTGGCTCAAAATTATGTAATGACATGCAAGTTCCTCAAATACAAAGTTAAATTAGAAAGTTGATCAAAGTTGAAGATACATTGTGGACTATTGTGACTATTATTAAATTGTGAAAATACTTAGTTACACCCAAATTCTTGAGTACATACATGTCTCAGCTAAAATCCAGTTTTAGAGGAACACTTTTTATGTTATAATGTTAAAGCTTTAAAACAATGAAGCCACTATGTATTTGGTTTATAACAAGATTCAAGGACACGGCATATTTATGCTTCCTTGCAAATGCTGATGCCAAAGTTCTGGTACCAGGGACATGTCAAATTAATCAACCTACTTAGGTGATGTGATCACCAACTTGTCAACACTAAACAGTTTTCCATGACCTTCAATCATTAATCACGGAAACTTGAATTTGAATCAGGTCATTTATATTTGTAATAAAGGGAATATCTCAAACTTTTTAGAAAAGGAAGGATATTTCATATTGAAAAGGAAGCTTATTTAGATTAAACATATATGATACCACCCCTTTTAAAATATATCCCATGTTAGTTGTGTTACATCCACACCTCTAGCATCTGATACACCGATACAAGTGGGTTAAATTTCAAAATGTTAATTTTTGCCCTCCCCAAGTAAAATAAACATTAACATTATGTAATGTTGTGATAAGGGGGAGAGGGTTATATCATATTAAGTAAGCTTTAGAGAACTGATTGATCTATTTCATTGCATGGAAACCAGTGTTTCCTAAGTGAAATTTTTGTGGTTTTGAGAAAATGGGTTTAAAGTTGAATATGAACCATTTATGGGTTTATGATACAAAGCTGATTTTATACTATCTCATGTCATTGTAAGGTTTGTGTATATGATTTCAAAACTATTATATTTGCAATGGTAAATGTAGTTTTTTCAGAAAGGAAATTGTGGCAGAAGATATTTTAGCTGTTTTGCACGTTTTGACATTTACGTTGACTCATTGTATCAAACTGATCAATTCATTGATTTTGCAGTTTGGAAAATAAAACTTATTGCATCATTAAATTTCCTTTCAAGTTTATAATGTTGAAGTTTTCAATCAACTGTTTTAATTGTAATTAATAATTTAATTAATGCCATATATCACAGTCATTGTTTTTTTAGTACATTGTTTTTGTCATTATACCATTATACTGTACATTAAACATTATTGCAATATTAGCATATACTGATTATTTGTTGAATGGGTTGACTCAGAATTTTAATGCAGAGTAGGCCCATTTGTAAGTTGTATGTGATGGAACCTTTGAATATATTATAATTACAACCTACATGCATCCTTCATTTCCAAAATACACTTATGTAATACATTAATTAAACAATTCCATTTACTTAAAAAGTAGAATCAATTTTGAATAAATATAATTAAATTCATTGTTCCCCACCAAAGGAAAGTCTTTAATGCCCAATGGAAAGATATTCATTGTATATAATTATAAAATAAAATATCATTGCAAATAATATACCCATTGCATGGGATAGGTTATTTTCTTTGGTATAACAAAATATTTGAGCTAAGAAATAATTTGTGAAGTTTTCTAAATGTTTTTTTAAATGAAAAATAGCATGCTCCCCTAAGCTGGACAAATCTTTGACCACCTGTGACTTACCAACCATATTTCATGACTACCAGCCTGATATAGTCACAATGTTACATGACTTTAAATATCAAGTAGTTATTTCCTAAAATGACAGGGTTGCAGCTTTTTTTGACCACCCTGTACAGCAATATTATTTAATATTATTATATTACTTAAATAATATTAGTTTTCTTTTGTTTAATTCCAGGTGATGTTTGAGACCAAAAAAACGGTGAGCCGTTTATGTTGGCTATTTCCAAAGCAACAACATGTATGCATGTCAATACAAGGATTGCCATTGCGCATGTTCATTTGTTGCACAATACAACACAGAAAAAGCAAGCAGGATCAAAGATTATTAATTGAGCCATAAGAGCCAAATACGACACCAATTTCGAAAAAGAAGCTTTAAGAAGAAATTGGGGAAGATAGCATCTCTCTATATAGGAATGAACACTCACTGTTGAGTCAAAGCCAGTGATATGGTGGGATCAATTTATGTGGCAAACGTCAAAGCCATTGTAAATTCCTTGAAGATGAATCTGACAAAATGCGAAGATAGACTTGATGAATATGACCCTAATTTACTTCAGATTTTTTTTTGAAATCGTTAGATTAGAACTTGGGCTAGTATAATGATGAAGCTAACAGATTATAATGTATTATGAAAGAACTAGAGTATTACTCATATTTACACGCCTAACCATCGACAACGTAGTGACAAAATATACCATTGCACACTTTATATTGTACAGTGTCACTAAAAACTGATGATGCAGGTGTGATGTAGGTTTTCAAAAATTAATTTTGGGAATACTTGAAAGATTTCAATTTCATCTTCAACTTTTAGCTTTCTGATTACATTAAAAGATTTAAAAGCAATGCTTGATTTTTTCCTATTTAGTCTATCAACAAAAATTGATCGGTTGGAAAATGTTGGGTTTTTCACATTTCCTTTGAATATTTTTCTCCTGTCACCTAAGAGTGTCATTTATTTTTATGAGAATATGTTTCTCTAAACTACACAATTTAAGATGAGTGAAGATTTGATAAGTATTATGTATTGGGTGTAATTTTAATAAAAAATCAGAAGAGTAGTTGTCAACTCCACTGAAGGGTGTCAGTGTAAATGAAATTCACTAGATGTTATATTGAACAATGCAATAATTAAACAAGTTATGTTTAAGGAACATGTTCAATTATCCCCAATACAGATGTTCTAAAGTTAAGGTAAATTTGATTTTTAAATCTTGTTGAATGTTATTTCATTTTATAAAAGTGTTGGTGTGGTGATTAATATGTGACCATGGGGTGTTAGCCTCTTACCTCTTGATCACTTGACATCTGTACTTTAACGTAATAAGAAACACTTTTATGAATTTTAATTATCTTAAGAAGTTGATAGTGAGATTTATACTAGCTAGTCGAAGATGACTTTTTAAAATCCTCTTTATGCTATATCTGGAAAGTGTTGAGGTTCAATACGATGGTTCAATCAAGTTTAAGTAATACTGTGATTGTTAAGTTTCAGTTTTAAATCAATCTGATCCCCCTGCCCATTAGTGTTATTAAAAATATGTTGTCAGGGTTAACTGTGAATTCAGATATGTAAGTTCATTGGGACAACGTACATCAAGATGACAAGGCACATTTGTAATTTTTTGATTTTTATTATTTTAACTAAAACATGAATATTTATTAAATTTTCAACCGACCTTAATTGTGTAACTTAAGGAAACATATTCTCATAAAAATAATTGACACTCTTAGGCGACAGGGGGAAAAATGATCAAAGTAAATGTGAAAAATTCAACATTTTCCAACCGATCATTGTTTGTGGTTAGATTTACTATGAAAAAAATCGAGCACTGCTCGAAAATCTTTTAACGTAATCAGAAAGCTAATGGTTTTCCTAATCGAATACACACAAAATTAAACATGAAATTCTTTATGCATTCCTCAGATTAATTTTTAAAACCTACATCACACCTACATCATATCTTTTGCTTCATATCAGTTAGAATAGTGACACTGTACATCAAAAGTCTACGAGGGTATATTTTGTCACTGTACTTTTTCGATGATCAGGTGTGATTTAAAATAAAAAAGTTAAAATGATCAATCTTCTGCCTGTTGTACCATCTGTTACAGTATCTTCTAATGAAGTATTTTCTGTAATGCTAAAGATTACTTGATCTGTACGTGATGAACTACTTTTTAAAAATATCTTGTCATAAAATTTAAAATTATACTTATATAGAATTGCAATTAAAACATTATATAGGACATGTTAATTGCAATCTGATGAAAATTTCTGTTGCCAAACTTATGAATGGAAGCGAAATTGCTTTTAACACTCAAATGTTGACTTAATGAATTTGAATTCAAACATCAATTTCGATTAAAAAACAGAAGTGAAAACTATAATTTCTGAATCCTTACCTGTAATGTCAGTTTACTAGAATGTCTGAATTCAGACACCTTATTTTAGTTTTATAGATTGTTGTCTGAATTCAGGCACCTCATCCAAGCTTAGCAAGTTGTCTGAATTCAGACACTATATTTCAGTTTTATAGATTGCTGTCTGAATTAAGGCACCTCATTCAAGCTTAGTAAAGTGTCTGAATTCAGACACCATATTTCAGTTTTATAGATTGTTGTCTGAATTCAGGCACCTCATCCAAGCTTAGCAAAGTGTCTGAATTCAGACACCATATTTCAGTTTCATGGAATGTTGTCTGAATTCAGGCACCTCATCCAAGCTTAGCGAGTTGTCTGAATTCAGACACCATATTTCAGTTTTATGGAATGTTGTCTGAATTCAGGCACCTCATCCAAGCTTAGCAAAGTGTCTGAATTCAGACACCTTATTTTAGTTTAAGAGAATCTTGTCTTTTTAAATTAAAAATGTGTGGGCATGTCTGAATTCAGACACATATTTTCCCATACTAAGAGTTGCATAGAGTAAAACATCTGCCTGAATTCAGACACTTCATTTATCTACACAAAAAGCTTGTAAATATGTTGCTGATGTCTGTACATAACATAGATATACAGTACCTAGAAATATATATCTTTATTTTTATACTTTGCTGGTTGTTTATAATCTTTTCTCATACAAAAAACTTCTCCAACACCTGAAGAATACATTAATTGTCAAATATATTTCTTAATTTATATTAATAATTCAAACTTTTGTCACCTATGGAATTGCCAAACTACACTGGAACCTGTTTATATATATTCCAGAATATATCATAATTATACTCTTTCTTATTGTAAATGGCGTACAATTTTGGTATTTCCTTCCCCAACAAATTCAATTCTGTAGATGTTGTTTTTCCAGTGATCTCCACAAATTCTCCAAGGTTCACCTGTACATTTAATTGTACATTCACTGTCATCTACCTTCCCATGTTTCCCATATGAGTTCCCACACCAACATTGTGCTCCTATTTGTATACCAGCATATACGTAGCCTTCTGCTGCAAGTAAAAAAATGACTTATGTGAATTTCTTTTTTTCTGTTCAATATACAAGTTATGTACAAGTAAAATAGATAAAAATAAAACCAGGTCATCTATTTTTCACACCACCTCCATTCATTCAGACATTTGCAGCAGTCATACCATTCAGCTCAGGTTCAAATGAAAAAATACATTTTTTAAATTGACCAGGTGACCAGACTTGTTGTTTTATTTGGAAAATTATTTCAAGTTACCAGTAAGCGATGGCAAAATATTTCTTTTGTAAGGGCAATTATTTTGGCTTCCAGTCGACTTTGACCCTCGTCAACTTGGACCCTAAAGTCAACTCAGACCCTAGTCAACTTGGATTTATGTATTTCTAAGGGCCTTACCCTCATGACAGCCTTTCAGACATTTTTCCAGTGTCATATCCCCATAGCTGTGGAAGAGAGGCAGGTCACGGTCCCTGGTATCTTTATAGCAGCCCAGTGTCAATGATGTTACTAAATAAAAAGAAAATCTATGTGCAAAATATATTGTTCCTGAATGTAGAGCTGGATATTGCAAGTTATATTTGGAACAGTTGTCACAAATTAAGAGATCTATTATTGTCTAAGCTTGAATGTTACAGCAAATATCTTTGCCTTGCTTAATCAATATGTCAGTGACGTTGATATACACTCCCCTAGTAAAGTTTAGAAATATTCTTTCTTCATTTAACTACATCTTAAATGGCAATTGTGTTTAATTTATTTTTTGAAAAGCCTGGAAAAGTGGACTTAGTTTAGTTTAATAATGCATAGTATTCAGTTGGTAATGGTGAAATCTTGATCACGGGTTAATCATTTATGTCAGTAATTAAGAAAAAATATTTCTTTTTAGAAAACGATTTTGCTTATAGTATTTTATTTGACTACAAATTTGTACTGGTTTTGGATCAAAAATCAGGCAATAGACAATAGGTTTCCATCGTTTTGGACCTGAGTGTACTTAAAACTTACTTTTTCTTGTTTCGTTCCGGCATTTGTCTTTCTCTGCTATATCTCCCAATCTTTCATTAACATCCTCTATCAGTTGTTTTATAGTATTAATGTCTTCCTTTACCTCATCCAATCCCTCATTGAGTAGATTTCTAATGCCCCTTTTTACCTGCCTCAGGTTTGATATGGTAATTTCATTCTCTTTATTTGTTTCAGCAGATAGTTTGGTTACATCAGTTGTTAAGACTATAAATAGCAGTGCTTTTAGCATCTTGTTTAATCGTATTCTATGACCTGAATGATTGTTACATTTAATACATGATCGTTTAAAGTTATTATCATGATGATATTTATGTTGAAATTTTTTCTAATAAAGCTATCATATAATGATAATGTCATCAAAGGGCATAATATATAATTAACCTAGATATTAATGCACTTAATAAAAAGAATAGAATTAACCAAGCTGATAATGTAGTTATAAATTTAAGAAAAAAATTGTTACAAAATCTTTTGTCAAATTGCTTCATAGTATGATGAAGCAATAAAACCTGATGTGTACCTGTAACTCTCAACCAGACATTAATAGTGCTGTATACTTAACCTCTTGACTACTGCTGTATACTTAACCTCTTGACTACTGCTGTATACTGTTCTTAACCTCTTGACTACTGCTGTATACTGTACTTAACCTCTTGACTACTGCTGTATACTTAACCTCTTGACTACTGCTGTATACTTAACCTCTTGACTACTGCTGTATACTTAACCTCTTGACTACTGCTGTATACTTAACCTCTTGACTACTGCTGTATACTTAACCTCTTGACTACCTGGAGTAACGAGATTTCTCGTCACCTCAGAAATGACCTTGAAACCCAGAGTGACAAGAAAATCTGTCACAAAATTTTTCACTAAAATCGCTCTTGTTTGAAAATTTCATCCAATTTACACAAAAATTGTTTTAAAATGTATAGAAATGATCTCTGCCATCTAATTTTACTAAGTTGAGCATCTAATAAAGTTATATAGATATGTAGTAAAATGTCAAAAGGTGGAAAAGATAAAAAAATCTCTTGTTTCAACTGACTTTAGAGCCTGGGATTCAAGAGGTTAATGAGTAAATTAATAACATGTAGTTTTATTGATGGAATTAAAAGTAAAACAAAACAATTATGAGTCTAATTCCGTTTAATTGCAGTTTATATTTGCCATGTCGACCATGAAATGCTTGATCAAAGCTTATATTTGCCATGTTTTCAATAACATGCTTGGTCACAACATATGTTTTATGATCTTCTATTATTCAAATATACACCAAGTCTTGAATTAATGTACATTTCATTGTAATATAATATGAGGTTGCACTCATTTGAGCAATTGTTATTATACATATCATTTCTATTATTCATACGTTTGTTATAATGCCATGTATATATTACAATACTTTACAACATCTTGCTGATTGGACAGGGTGCTCCATAATTAATGACTATGAGAATTTAATATTTCTGAAATTCAAAACATACATATTGTCACTACATTGTATTTTTGAAACAGTGTCTAAATGTCAGTATCATAAAATACATTACCATGGGCGTAGCGCCCGGTACGCTGGGTACGCACAGGCGTACCAGATGGTTGCAAATTCGCTAAAAATACAACCAAATTTCCAGACCCCCCTGAATGCTCGTTTTTGATTCTTGACTCTTGTTCCTGTGGTGGTGGCGTACTACTAAGAAAAATAGCGCTACACCCATGATTACGTTATCTATCACTCTTGATTCTCTCTTGTTTTATGACATATGGTATGAAACTATAGCAATTGCAAGTGTACGGTTCGTCATGTTGTATAAGAAGGCACATTATTGTATTTGCACATTATTGTTTTTTCAGGCAGGTGCAGCAAAGAAAAAGCGCAAACGCCAACGCAAATCCAGGTATGTACATTTTAATTATTGCCACAGCCAAAGATACAGTATTACCAAGACTCTCTTTTATATTATTTTATGTTTAGAGGCATTTAATAACGAACATGTTATCTATACTTATATACATATTTTTGAATTGAAAGTCATAAAACTCCTGAAGTATTACCATTCTTTAAATAGGTCAGTAGATATTGTCACGATGTCCAGACAGGTTCATTACCATTTCCATTCACAACAAATTATATTATTTTCTATATTATTTCTATAATTATATTATTTGAAATAGGTCAGCAGCAGTATTGGGTGAACTGTCAACAATGGGCAGTTGCCATCCACCAGAGGATATCCACAGTGATGTCTCCAGCCAGTGCAGCACAGTGTCTAGTCAGGAGAGTGGAGTACATGGCGTCACGGACAACAGGCGACATTCAGCACCATTGAAAAGTGCTGCAAATGCTAGCAATCATTCGGCTAATTCCTTGAACAATGTGGGAGTTCGCCCATCCGCCTCATCGAATACTAATGTTAGTCATTTAGACCTAACAACAGGCCAAGGAAAATGCCAGCATTTAAAAGCGACAAAAAAGAACAGTGAAACAAAATTCTTAAACAAAAAAGATGGCCATATTAAAAATGGCGTCCCTGTACTTGTAAAACAAAATGGTGCCCTAAAGACAAACTGTAGTAAATCTCAACATGCTAACAAATCTCAGAATAGTGTAAATCATGCTCAAAAGGAAACTAGAACTGATACCAAATTAAAGGAGAATGGTACTGCTCATATACCTGGTGAATCAGAAAGGAGTGGAAGTTATTGGTTTGGTTGGAGTAAATAAATGATTAAGAAATATTATCCGATTGGGGTAAACGTGCAAGGATTCAGTTTGCCATTTTGGCTCATGGGCAATCAGTGTATGCTAATACTGGTACATTAACATCAGGGGTTTCATTAGCAACAGGCAACAGGCAATTTTCACTGGTTGTTCACAAAATCGCCAGTTGTTTTTAGAGACTTTTCCATGTTAAATTTGTGATTTCCATTTACTTTGCCTGTTGTTCTCATTTATTAAGCCTGTTATGAGAAATTCTAGTGAAACCCTGAACATGATCAGCAAATACTCAGAACTAGCACACAAGGGTATAAGATAATAGCTTGGTTCACTGTTAGATTCAGTGACCATTTAAGTGCTCATTTTTGCACATTTTACCCAATAGGAACAAAATGAAATAAAAGTTACCAATGTTCAAACATTCAGATTCACATTTAAAAATGTTCATATAACATGTACCAAAGCACAAGACGTAAAGATGTAGTTGTATTATCAATACATACACTACATGACATGTACAAGTATAAAATGGACATAACATGCACATCTATAAATGAAAAGTGTTTAGGTTCAAGAAGTCTTGCACCAAGCCTTTGAATAACTCCTTGATATACTCCTACATACAATTAAGTAGGAGTATTTGAGACTAGGTGCAAGACTAGGAATGTATCATTTCAAGATGAATGTTATCTAAGTGGACTTCCATTTATAGCAAATTAATACGGTGCAATACAGTAGGTTAGGAAATACTAACACAAATATTAGGTGTGATAAATTTAGTGGACCAACTGTATATATTATAGTATAATGGTGGCCATTATGTAGGGGTGGGTCATTTACATGTCAAGTCACTAAATACATTTCTCCCAGCAAAAACTAATTCTGAAAAAATAAGTAATGTTCTAGCCCTTATGTGTTACATAAAGAAGATAAGGTTAGGGTTAGTTAATCATCTGCTTTGGGCGAAGAAAATTACTGAATTATACCGGTATTAATTTTGAGAAATTTAAATGTCAAATCTAAGTCATGAATCCATTGATTTGAATATGGGTATCATGAAATCACATGCATTTACATTATTACTAGTTCTCTATTTTAACACATACATGTATTCTCATTTTATTTGAAATAAGTATGGAATAAGCTAGCATTTCATCTGATCTTGTTATCCATCATTGATACTATGACAGGCCCGTAGCCAGGGGTGGTTCGCAGGGTTCGGGCGAACCCCCCCCCTGGCCAAAAATTCTTTCAAAATCATGCAGTTTTTCACCATTTTGAGCACTTTTCAAGTGATTTTAGCCATATTTGGGCCAAAATTGTCAAATGTGAACCCCCCCCCTGGAAATTTTTGAAAACTGAACCCCCCTTGGCAAATCCTGGCTACGAGCCTGCTATGAACATACATTTAAACATTTTAAATGATATGATTACTGATATGTATGCAGATCAAGCAATATTCATAGGTCATATTCAGGAGGAGGGTTGAGCTTTGGGAAGAGCTGGCTAACATAGGAGATAAATACAAAAAAATACTTGATAATAACCATTATTTTTATCACCGCAACAGATCATACTTAAAGTAACTCCTTCATGTGGAAAAATTGGCTAATTTAGTGGACCAACTGTATATATTATAGTATAATGGTGGCCATTATGTAGGGGTGGGTCATTTACATGTCAAGTCACTAAATACATTTCTCCCAGCAAAAACTAATTCTGAAAAAATAAGTAATGTTCTAGCCCTTATGTGTTACATAAAGAAGATAAGGTTAGGGTTAGTTAATCATCTGCTTTGGGCGAAGAAAATTACTGAATTATACCGGTATTAATTTTGAGAAATTTAAATGTCAAATCTAAGTCATGAATCCATTGATTTGAATATGGGTATCATGAAATCACATGCATTTACATTATTACTAGTTCTCTATTTTAACACATACATGTATTCTCATTTTATTTGAAATAAGTATGGAATAAGCTAGCATTTCATCTGATCTTGTTATCCATCATTGATACTATGACAGGCCCGTAGCCAGGGGTGGTTCGCAGGGTTCGGGCGAACCCCCCCCTGGCCAAAAATTCTTTCAAAATCATGCAGTTTTTCACCATTTTGAGCACTTTTCAAGTGATTTTAGCCATATTTGGGCCAAAATTGTCAAATGTGAACCCCCCTGGAAATTTTTGAAAACTGAACCCCCCCTTGGCAAATCCTGGCTACGAGCCTGCTATGAACATACATTTAAACATTTTAAATGATATGATTACTGATATGTATGCAGATCAAGCAATATTCATAGGTCATATTCAGGAGGAGGGTTGAGCTTTGGGAAGAGCTGGCTAACATAGGAGATAAATACAAAAAAATACTTGATAATAACCATTATTTTTATCACCGCAACAGATCATACTTAAAGTAACTCCTTCATGTGGAAAAATTGGCTACTGTAAGTCTAACATATAATGAGTCCCTGTTTATAAGAGATATATGCTGAATTATGTGTTCATTCAGTGAAAATATCAATG